TGGAATTTTGGGTACACAGCGATTTTTTTGGCTTACTTCATGTTTTTTGGGTCGCTGGATCCGAATCTGAAGTTTCCGCACGCGTATCTGGTGAGCATTTTCCGCTATTTTGAAAAAATGACCTAAAAAGGCCTTTTTTTGCGGTTTTTTTGATATAGCGGCTACGGATGAGGAAAAGTCCCGGATCTAGCTAATGTTTTGAATAGCTGACAAAATTTGGAAGAAAATGGTATATGAATATGCTAGGTTTGCTCAAAAATTGAGGAACCTCGGATTTCGGAACTTTAGAACGCTTCGGAACTTGGCTGACCGCGGCGAGCCGGATCGCGCGTTGACGGGTGCGCCGCGAAAACGTGAATAGGCGCGATGTTCACGATGCTGTATCTTCCTCAATTTTTAAGCAAACCTAACACATGTATACACCATTTTCTTCCAAATTATGTCAGCTATTCAAAACATTAGCTAAATCCGGGACTTTTCCTCATCCGTAGCCGCAATATCAAAAAAACCGCAAAAAAAGGCCTTTTTAGGCCATTTTTTCAAAATAGCGGAAAATGCTCACCAGATACGCGTGCGGAAACTTCAGATTCGGATTCAGCGACTCAAAAAACATAAAGTAGGCCAAAAAAATCGCTGTGTACCCAAAATTCCAGGTAGACTTACCAGGCGCCTGGACTATTTCTCTGAGTTGCTCTCAGGACTCCACAAGGACTTTACTTGGCACTGTGATTAGTGTGAAATTTTTCCCCAGGACAAATCCGATGAAATGTTCCGTGGAGACAAGGCCTAGGAGCTGCGATTTTTCATTCATAAGGTGTGTGGGCATAGTTACAGATGGTCCGTAACCACATATTATCTTTTCCCCTTTATGATTCTTCTAAAAAAAGGACACGCACACCCAGTTCAAAAACATTAATCGATATTAGCCTTAAAAATCAAGGCGATGATTTTTCATTTGTATGTTTGTCCACGGAACATTTCATCGGATTTGTCCTGGGGAAAAATTTCACACTAATCACAGTGCCAAGTAAAGTCCTTGTGGAGTCCTGAGAGCAACTCAGAGAAAAGGAGCAGTGGCGGACCCAGCAATTTGGCAACACCGGGTTTATTACATTTGAATCTATGTCAAATAATCGATTTTTGTCGGAGCACTTGGCCCCTCCAAGAATAGATACATTTGTATAGGTTTGAACGGAGAGGAAAAAATGTTGCCAATTTGCTGGATCCGCCAGTGGCCCTTTTGGGCCCTAAAACCTCCATGCTTTAACCTCCAAAATTATCAACATTTCCATACTTTCCCCATTTAGGCACTCTACAAAACTCTATCCTGGCTACATTGATTCAAACCCGACCGAACTGAACTGCAGAAACGAGATTTTAACTTGGGCTAGATAAAGGTGCGCCCTAAAATCAAACATAAGTATTACAAGAGCCAATTTTTTTTTTCTCTGGGATCGGCGGTATTGTTATAAATGGGATAGAAGGAAACAAATTAATATATTCTTTATATTTTGATTTGGCAACACTAAACTTTTGGAGCTCTCAGTGCGAAGTTTTGTCATCCAACATTAATAATTGCTGAAGCGAAATTTAACTCCCTGCCCGCGATCCTAGAATCTCAGCCGTTGGAAAATTGCTCGCCGATATTTCTAATGCCTCTATCAATAAATCAACCCTCCGTGCGTTCGTTCTCCACTTGCAGTTTGCGGTCCATTCACTGCAGGCATTTATTCCAACCATTATTTTGGAATCACAATGTTTGGATTCTTGCGGTGAGAGTGGTATTATGCTGTGCTCAGCAAAAGAACGTAAATTCAGCGGAATCCCTATGCACATGTGTCCTTTTTGCTAAGCACTGCAGTATGAAACTGTGGTGAAGCGAGGAGCATCAGTCATCGATGTTTCCTCCTTTAAAGTTTTGGTAAAGGATCGATTATTAAAGTGTTCGGTGCAAATACCGTGATAATCGGTCTTTTCACATAGGTTCAAATGGTAGATTAATCGATTCATTGCGAAGTACAATACTTCACTGTTATCGAATACTCTATGAAGCTGGCCACCCCTCCGTAACCATGATTGTATGATCCAAACTTACGCTTAATTTACACCGTGCTGTCTCTGGAAATATCTCTTCCTGAATATTGATCGAATATCCAGAGTTGAAAATTTCAATTTGGAACTTATGAAATATGAAAGGACCTTTCATGGAATTGTGCGGTGTTTGCGGATTCTTAATTTGTTTGGATCGTGTTTAAGTGTAGAAGAAAGCTAAATCCAAAAGGAAAGGATAAGAACAAGCATAATTTGAAAGATTGCGCTTCAATTTTATTTCTAAAATGCAGTTTTAAATAGAAAAAAAAAACCTACAGGAGATACGCCATTGTTTGTATAAAATATCCAATCCAAGAGGTTTTCGTTGAGGAAAATCAATTTCCACAAACAGCATCCAAAATTTATGGTGAATAATCTTACTCAAAGGGTTTCAAGGGATACAATGGGACCTCGTTAAGTAGAAAGGAGCCAAGCCACATCAGCTATGGCCAAATGTAATTGGGTAATTTAATGTTTTACAAGAAAACTGTTGTGCGGATTTTTGTGGAAATTTCAATGAATTTTCTGCATAGTACGAAGCAAATTTCCAAAATGATGCAAGATATCCATTATTTATACCTATATAATGTAATTTTTGCCCAATTACTTCTATATGTCTGCTATCTACATTGGTTGAAATATTCCCCGGACTGGACTCGTATCCTGAAATTAAACCGATAAGAATCAATGGGTTTGGAAGACAAGGCCCATAAGTAAGGTTGTTGCTATTTCGAGAAAAAGGTGTTTTAAGTTTCGAAATTACGTGGATCTTTATGGCGTATGGCGTAAAGAAAGTTCAGACCGACTTTTCGATTCTTACAAATTGGAATTTGGGAGCAAATTTTTCACAGAAAATGCATTAAGACTAGTGTTATCTGAGATTATTAATATCTCAATCTTTCTAAAAACTGCACTTATGCGCCTCGTCATCCGAGCCCCTCGAATCTTGCGATAAACACTCACGAAAATTCACGGGAAATAGTTTTCTCGGAAATGACAACGTCGCGTCGTTCCTCGTCGCTTCTTCCGTCTCAATGGCATCTTTAACGTCGATCCTTTCTCATTCAACATCTTTTTAATGACTGTTCTTGAAAGCTGCGCACTTGTTCGTCCGGAAATTTAATCATGAATTTATAGTTTACCTCAACGTCTCAGGACTCAGGAGACAGGTCTCACACTCTAGCACTAGCTGTCACGGAGTTGCAACATTTCCAGATGCAATCATGCTTGATGAGCCACGTCGTAAATCGTCGCACAGTGGCTCGAGTCAGTTACCGAAGTCGGACATGAATTTTTCACTAAAACCGCAAATTTTGACGTTTATTTCATCACATTTTAAATTTTAAGGGGTGTCTCCAGAGGTAAATTTCAGGAGAAAACCAATAATATCATTTTTAGAACCTCAAACATGTGTATAAACGGAGTTATACGCGTTTAAAGTTTCCACATTTTGTCCGACCTCTCCTATTGACTCGATCTATTGTGCGTCGTCTCTCTGACGCGATAAAAGGGCGTATCTCCATTTCGGCGTGATCCTTGGAAAGCATGGGATAAATGGACGTATTTCTGTCAAACAGAACTATATGCATTATGACGTGAGCCCCAGTATGCATATATTCTTATTGGTCTCAGGGCTCATGTCTTAATGCACATAGTTCCGTTTGATAGAAATACGTCCAAATGGAGAGTCACGCCTTCGGGTTTGGGGAACAACGAAGTCTGTCCAACTGATGTGATGATTTTATACCCTTGTGCAGCCTGATCGGCAGCATGAGAAAAATCACGAAGATAAAAACGCCAACAAAGTGTTCTGTGTATTTTCAATTTGAGGAAATTTAGTTTTATAATTATTTTTTACTGAAGTGAGCATCTAGTACCTAGTAGCCATCTCCGTTCTAGAAGAGGGAACTTCAGTTTTTCTCTTTCTTACTCTTTCATTCCTCAACCCTCGTATCTCTCTCTCTCTCTCTCTCACACTCCCTAAAATTTATCTTCTTCAAAACTAGTTTTACAATCATCACACCGAGACATGCTTCAAATCATCGACATAACTTTTAGCAAGAATCTAGGAGGTATACCTGAATAAATACTTACTCAGCTCATATCATCCTTGAACTAAGTTCGTTTGGTTCTTAATCCTTTTCACAAGCCACAAAATCTTGTGATAAATTTGAATTGCCGTTGCTAAAGTAAGAAAAATTTATATCTCCGATCGTGTCGCTGCAAGTGCCCGTTAATGTTCATGCCTTCATAAAGAAAACCATCCAGACGGGTTTTCCTGGGAGTGTTCTGCGAATTTGCTTTATTAAAACAAACATATTTACAACGTTTATAAATAACAACACCAGGCTAATCGAGTCTGGAAATTTTGAATGATGAGCGAAACGAATGCAAACTTCACACCGCGGCCATCACCTTGTGACCAAACATATATCAAACATATTTACAGATTCTTTCAAATTCATACTTCAGTCTTTTTGCTTTTTTTAAAATGTATGTGAATGGGTAAATGATAAAAATATCGACAGTTTTTAAACCTAACAATGTAGATATGCATTTTTGATTGTTACATCGGTGAGAAAAAGGTTTCACGACATCATCCCTTATTAAGTGATTTTTATTCTTGTGATTTTTATCGTGTCCCTGCTAAAAAAAGGACTTTTGTCACTTCTTTCACAACTTTATCGATCATCGTTATCAGGATGTTTTGAAACCTTTTCTTTACCGATTTTTCCAAATCGGATTTTGGAAGCCAAATTTGGAAAATCGGTAAGGAAAAGGTTTCACGACATCATCCCTTATTGAGTGATTTTTATTTTTGTGATTTTGATCCTGTCACTGCTAAAAAGACGACTTTTGTGGCATGAATGAGGAAGGTGAACTAAATGAATCTGGCATTTGTGTTTCAGGTGGATCGTGGCATTTGGCGGCCTGAAATGGGTTCCCGGGACCGTGAGGCGCCCGGCGCGCCCCACCCCCGCCTCGCGCTAGCTCCGCCGCCGCCGCCGTCGTCACCGCCCTTCTCATGATATAAAAACCACTTCCGGCGAGGACTCGAACCTTTGACCTTTCCATCCCCGTGACCATCAACCCGAGCGACAGTGTCAAGCCTCCTTTCCAGCTGAGCATCTCCGTCGAAAATGGGGCACGAGACACAGCACATTGACTGCGGGTAGTGTCGAATCTCTTCGGGACCTCGGGAGTGCGGACCTTTTCGGACCTTGGATTTTTCTGTGCGTGACTTTTTCGGGAATGTGCGAGGGGAGTGCGGGCGTCCGGTGGGGAGAGTGAAGGGGCGAATTCGCGGGGGATGGAGGGTAGGGGGATGAAGGCTGTGGGGTCAGAGGAAGCCCCAGCAGCCGGGCTGAGGCTTGTCTCGCTTTCGGTTTTCGCGACGGTAGCGGGGGCGCGGTAAGGGGTTGATTCCGCGAGAGCACGCTGTGTCTGTCGCGATGCCGGGCGGACGGAGGGGGCTAGTGGCGCCACAAAACACCTTCTTGGAAAATATCATCCGACGCTCCAGCTCACAACGTAAGTCGTAAAACTTTTTTCTCCAGCCCGCATAACCTCCAGCTCTTAGAGTCTCAGCTTTGGCGCTGTTGTCGGACGTAGCAGCCCGAGACGATATCGTCACTTTCCACCCGAAGTATCAGAAGCGCCATCCGACGTTTAAAAGTTTCCGCCGCCATGTAATTTATTTACATGAAAATTCGCTGGTTCCATGCTCGAAAATTTAACTGAATTTTATCTGCTACACGAAGAAAATTTAGTGAAATTTTCAGAAATCTTCGTTGAACAATTTCTCTGAAAAAATAAAATAAAATTGCGGCGGAAATTTTTAAACGTGACATGGCGCTTATGATACTTTGGCTGAAAGGTGACGATATCTTGGAGACCTCGCACTGCTATTTTGCCGTGCGAAGGAAGAATGCCGTATAAATATTTGAGGATTGCCAAACTTCCAATTTCCCTCGAGGAAATGCTAATTTAAAAGGCGAGTTATGAATATTTTCTCTTGAATTTCTCAGATGATTTACATTCGATTGTGAATGAAATTCCCTGAAAAATTGGAGGGAAAATTTCCTTAGATTTCTCCGAAAATCGGTTTTTTATGAAATGAAATTTAGCAACGCCTGAAGGCTCATACGGCGTTCTTCCTCAACACGGCAATAATATTCCAATAAATTTCTTGAATGATGACTCATGGAACGAAGAATTGAACAGTTGACGTAGCAATCGCAGCTTGTAGCGAGGCGTGAATGATCGATTTTTGATGTTTCCCCCATTTGAAACTATGGTAAAGAATCGGTTATCAAGCTGTACGTTACAAGCACCCTGTTTATCGATACTTTCCCACAAGTGTGAATGTTAGATCAACCGATTCATCGCAAAGCATGTCACGCCACTGATCGCGACCGAATTTGCAAATAATCCTATCGAATGTTCGACTCGACTTTCATCAGTCATCATTAGGCAAATTTTATTTGATTTTTTGTTTAACAAGTTGCTCATCAATCATCATTAGGCGAAAGCAACGTTGACCTACGCACTGAGCTTATATCTCACCCTAATACAATGCGTAGATTGTCAATGTGGGGTCCTTAAAGTTCATTGTCTCTGGCAGCGACAACGACGTTTTTAATATTATTTTTCAGAATCATCAAGTCTGCAGAAAAACACTCTAATACGAAGCTCGGTTTTGCGTTTGACCTGCACAAAAGCAGTCCATTATAAAAGGTGCAGGTGCACATTATTTGAATGTGTGTTTTGCGTTAAATGGTTTATTTCAAGCTGCTTAATATCAATTTTGAAATGCTTAGATCTGAAGGAAAAAGTAGAGTTTCATCATCAATCATTTCGGAATAGCAATTTTAAGCGGATACTACTAAGTATATCCCTGGTAATCTGGAAATTGAAGATGAAACCCCTAAACTCTTCTGTATCGTAAGTCGTTGGTAGCGAGGATTGAATTTCAGTAGAGGGGAAGAAGAAAAAGGGTTGTGTGATTTCCCATAAATGTCACAAAAACTGCCTCGGTGACTTCTTATCATTAAAATATCCGGAAACACAAGTTTTTCTCTTTTAGTTGGATTACGTTTTGCAATAAGGAACCACTATTTCCAGCTGAACATATGTGCCATCGGTTTCCCTATGCGGATATGCGTTTTTATGAAAGAGCCAGAGATAGTGATTCCTTATTGCAAAATGTAATCCAGTTTATCTGTCGAATAGAATTTTCGACAAAAGGCCCTCCGAAGAATTTAAATCACCTCTCAAGCCCCTTATAAAAGTTTTGAATGAAAATATATTCGTTACGTAACATGGCTCTGTACCTTGCATGGGATTTAGACAGTTTTTACAATTCAATTTGACAACCCTGCTTTTCTAATGATAAAAGGCAACGGTGGTAGTCTTGTGGGTGATTAAATTGGCTGTATCATTGTGCTCAAATGCCAAGACTTTACCTACCTTCTCAAAGTCGTCTAAGTTCTCAACTCATGATTTTGTGGTGATTAAAACTGTTGTTTAGTTTGTAGGACTTTTACTACCAAACCGCAGCCTGAACTACCAACTCTCTTAACCGCCTGTCATCTCTTTGTGCTGCCACAAGCAGCCTTATCCTCGAGCCTAAAATCATAACGTTTCAGTGAAGACCTACTTACTTCCGATACGTTGTTCAAGTCGTTCGACTTCTTCTGATACTGTCAGCAGTTTCAGTCTGCCGAAATCCGCGTATCAATCTTGTGGAGTTGAAATATTTGCGAAGGAAAGACCGGTCGCAAGGGGAAATGTGTGATGGGTCGATTGCGCTGGTTACAGAATCAAGTTTTCATGTTTGATTCTTGTAGAATAGCTAAAAATAATATGATCCGTCCAAACATCAACTTTTTAAGTTCAATATTAATCGAGATATCTTCGTTTGAAGATTCTAGTTTTTGACGTCATCCACCGCGGTAGTGACACCCTCGGTGTCTTCCACCTTGCTCTCATCAGTCAGTGTGACGTAAATTTTCACTGGTTGCTGAACGTGAAACTCGGATGAAAGCGAGCTGGAAGAAACCAAGGGTATCATTACCGTGGTGGATGACCTTAAAACCCCGACTTTTCAAAGGGCGATATCTCGGCTACTCTTCAACGTGGCAAGTGCTGCCTGGATAGATCTTATTATTTTTTGCTGATCTACAAGAATCGGCTTCAAAACTTGATTCTGTGACCAGCATAACTGACCCATTAGCTGACATTTTCATCGTATTGTCACACAATTGAAAATAGGTGATGTAAATAACGGTTCTGAAAAAACAGTTTTGATGGAAAAATATTATATCAAAATAACTTAGATTACATTCTGCTTCGAGCCCTGCCGATAATTAACGGACTAAAACGCGGGTTAGTCAAAAATTACTCTCTTTATCTGTACAAAACTGTTCAATTTTTCTAATATAAAGATAATTTCATTTGTATTTGATTACATGAGACGAAAAACAAGCAGGTAGCGGACTGTTCATTTTATGGCGACACTAAAGTAAAGCTAAATTATTGCTGAAATAAAATGCTGAATGCAACTATTCGTACTCTGTGCATGTCCTCATTGCATACACAAAAAATTGAAGGCACTTAGGCGATCCATCTTCTCACTAGTATGCCCGTTATAACGCTGCTGTCGCCTACTTTTGATTGTTGAGTAACAATAGTCAAATAAACAGGGTAACCCTCTACCCCCTAAGTTGTTCCAAAAAGTCCATGTTTATATTTGAAACAATGAATTCTTCTAATTCATCCTTTTCGGAATATGTGAAGGTAGAGGGAAAACGTAATTCTTTTGTGGGGAGGTTCCCAAACTTAACGCAATTGGAATGATCTTCACCGTAAAATCTTGAAGAAAATCCATTAATCATGTGCTTATGTCTGTTCGTGTCTTCTTCCATGCCCAATTGAAAATGACCAGGAGTCCTTAATTAAAGATGAAACGTGACGGAAAATTTTGCAATTTTGCAGACCGAGATTCAATATTTTTTAGAATTCTTGTCGTAAGAATTTCCATACTAATGTAAATATAACTCGTTTCATCATGATTGAAAATTCCTAATTTTTAATGACACTATTTTTACTCTTAGATATGTATAGGGTAGCCTATGCTTAACCTGCCAAGGAAGACCATAAATCCGGGAAAAGCCTGCAAGATGCACTATATATGAAATGGAAAGCCAGGACAGTTTAGAATATTTTACAATTTTATTTTCAACCCGCAAAGGAAAATAAGAGCAGTCTCCGTTTTGCATTAACAGTGGGCTGATGACTCAGTTTCCCCCTGTTTTTCTGCTTTCCCGGCTGAAAAATAAAATTGTAAAGTATATCGAAACGGCCTGATCTTTCATTTAATTTTTTTCACCTTGTAAGTCTTTCTCAGATTGAGTTGTAACTTATTAAATTTCTGAATATTTTACTCGGTCCTTTGAAAATGTCAAGCGCTCACGTCTAGTGATGCGCAGTTATTCCGAGTCATATCGTTATTTTTTCTCCACCCCCTTTATTTTTCAAGAAATCCTTTGAAAATCCCGCTCAGCAGCAACGCGATAATAACATGTTCGCAAAAAAAATATGGTCCAACCCCGATGAGGTTAAGCTGATGCTGTACGAACGCCTCTCCAGGATTCCCGTCAAGGAACGAGCGGTGCAACCACTTTTGTCTGACCCACCGATCCTTCATACTGAGCCCCACTTGACTGAAATTAAAAAAGTTGGCCTTTTTTCAGACCGTAGCATTCGCACACACCGTCGCCAGATAAGGCCGGAGAGTGACCCTCTCCATCCCCTGAAATCGAGGGGGCGCAAGGTCGAAGCATCCAGAAGCAGTCTGGCAATGAGGATCCGAGGGAAGGCATGCATTAATTAAACCTGATCCTGCTAGGCTACGCACAGTCGCGGGAGCTAAGACTCGGGGAAAGTTGGGAAATTTATAGTCGGTGGCACCAACAGTCGCGGGCTACATTCGTTGCCAACCCTCCTCCCCTCCTGCGCCAGCTCCTTTGTGCAACCGCCGTCAGACTTTCCGGGTTTCACTTTCCGAGGGGTATGCCCGACATGCAACCCCCGGACTCCGACTTGCGCTCGCTCATCTTATGGTATCCTCCGCACGCACTAACAACTAACAAGGGACCAGTAGACAGGCTAAGAAATTCAGCGTTACACTGCCGTGCTGAGGGAGAATGCCGTAAAAACCTTCAAGCGTTGCCAAATTTTCCTCTATATATACGAATTTTCAAGGAAACTTTGGGGTGTTTTTCTTACAGTTTCTCAGAGAGTTTCGTTCGAAAGAGCTTGATGCAAAAACGGCTTTTTTCGCCCCCCTCTGGAAGTTCTTCAGACTTTGTCTATTGATTACTCATACTTGAGCGCTTCTTTTCCCAAATTTTCAGACCCCCAAAAAATTTTGGGGGGGAGCTAGGGGGGGTGGAAGTCAAAACCTGTGAACCTCGATATCTCTCGAACAAAGAAAGATATTGAGGTCCGGTTTGGACGAAAAATCGTCT